ATATAAACATGATTTATTTCTATATGCATACATTATTGCAATTTTTTTTAGCACTTACCTGAAATGAGTATTTGTGGCAGTCCTTAGCCCCAGGCAACTGCTCCAAGAGATACTGCACTGCATTATGTGTTAGACCCAGCATGTGGAGGCCAGATATTGAGTCCCCTGGGCTTGATGGTTGTTGGATATTGTGCGGAACTTTTGGGTCCATCCTCATGCTAGCTCTTGCAGCTGCGACAGCATCAAATACCTTCTGCCAGACCTCTGCAATGTGGCGAGATTCCACACGGAAGCCATCCTCTGATGTCAGCTCAAATACAATGTATGGTTCAGCACTGCATGCCTTTGGTTTGTCAAACATGGCAGGATCATCTGCGGGATTATGCATTGGATTCACAGAAAAATTGGGTAGCTGTTCATTGACATACAGGTCACTTGATGTGTCCTTGTTAACAATAATTAGGTCTTTCTCAGGGTCTCTACTCTTGGCCTTTTTTCGCTTTGGGCCAACTGACACCTTAGCTTTGATTCTCAGCTCTTTAACTTCGGGAGACGGTAAAGGCGTGGTAGGTCCTGATATTGGAAGAACATTGAAACCTGTGCTTGCTGAACTATCTTTCCGGAGCACTAGTTTGTAGGATTGTGTCTCAAGATGATCCTCCTTTTCTTTCTCTGCATCATGACTAGTTGTTTCTGTCTCAGAATCTGTTTCTGAATCAGAGATGTTAACATCCAGTCCTTCTCTTTCTTTCAGGAAATCATGGTGAGTGTCAGAAATATTCATACGATCTAGCTGAAGGACTTCTTGCCGCTGCTTTTGTCTCTCTAACTGCTTTTCTCTCATAGCATCCCTGTAACTGTATGTGGGCCGGGGACGTACAGTTGCAACTTTCGGGCTGGTGTCCATTGATGTTAGCCGAGTAGCAGAACTGCATGTTGATAAGGATACCATGGTTGTTGTTGTGATGATTGCTGGAGCAACAGTTGCAACAGTTCTAACCACACCAGTTAGAGGGCGATCTGAGAAAGGCAAACGGCTATGCCCTTGACTCTCTATCAGATTAACATCTGAGGACGAAGTGGTAAGAGTTGGCTGTGGTTGAATTACCTGTGGTGCTACTGAGGCCTGTGGACGATGTCGTGCAATAGGTCCTGAGCAAGTGGAAGTAACTGGCAAACTCACTGCTACTCCATGAGAAGACCTGTTTTGTGAAGAGCCAATACATGGTGCAGATTGAAGAGGTTTTGATCCCCCACCAGTGAATGACAACTCTCTTGTCACTATTGCAGTTTGTGCATGAGGCTGCATACATATTGGACTTGCTTGAATGTCAGAGTATGGCATACAGGGAGTGTGCACTTGCCCTGTGTGCATATGTGACACAGGCACTTGCTGTGGTGAAACTCCTGTTTGATTGTACTGCATCACAGCACCAACCTGCTGTTCTGGATGATGTATGACTTGTGGCTGCTGCTGTTGCTGCTGCTGCTGCTGAGGAAGGTACTGAACAGACTGCATTCCTGGAACCATGGCTGGCTGATTGATAACCAGTGTCTCTGGAGCAGTGAAGGTGTAAGTGATATTGGTGTTCACAACTTGTGGTACAACTACTGAACTCTGCTGGGGAGTCATGACTAGCTGTGGCTGAGGGACTACAACAGGAGCAGCTGGGTAGGTGACTAGTCCCCCTCCTCCTGCAGCCACCTCACCATCTCTGAAGCTACCTACATACTGCAAGGTGTATCCTTGTGGGACCGCAACAGATGGGGCAGACACCATAGTCAGAACCTGGGGACTGACTTGAGGAGACACTTGTGGTGCAACCTGTGAGGTCACTTGTGGTGTCACTTGCACAGCAGAGGTCAGGTGTGTAACTGGGGAGGTCAACTGAGGTGTACCTGCATATTGGCTAGACTGTCCAGGAAACTGCTGAAAGGCTGCAAGAGCACCTTGGGCCAGGTTCTGACCAGAATTGTTAGTCATGGGATGCATAGCCACCTGGATTGGAGCAGGAGCAGCTGAAGGTGTCATCTGCACACCAGAATTTGTACCTTGATAATGCTCATGTGGGCCTGGAAGGTGAGGGGCCGCACGGCGGTATTGGTACCCACGACTGCCTCTCAGTAACCTAACATTTGTGTAGCGCCTTGGACTGGCACTCTTTTTGACAACAGGACTGAACTTAACTGGAGATACTGGAGGTGGTACAAAAACATCACTCCCTGGAGGGGGGGGACCTCGCACAACCTGCAGTAGTTCCACATCCTCGCTAGTACTTTGGCACTTTTTGATGGCTGTCCGTACCTGCCGGTGTACCCCGTGCAGACGTGGCAGAGTGACATCCAGTCTTGCCCTCTTAACAGCAGGTTCCTCCCCTGATGGCCTTGCATGCCCTTCAAGATCAACAACCACAGAAGGTTTGGTGTCATCAACTGACTGAGCTGAGACATCAATATCAGATGGCTGGTTTGCAGAGGTATTGGGCATCACAGAATCTTCAGACAGCAATGGAACATGTACATTATGCTGACTGATAGAAGGATATTCTTCTCTCTCACTGAGGGATGGCATATGGAGGTTTTCCTGAATGACATCATCTATTTTCTCCTCCTGCAAGTGTGGGAGTGTACTTGAAGTACCCTCTTCCTCCTCTTCTATGTGAACTTCCTCGTATTCTTCATCTTCTGACGTGCTTGAACTGTCAACTTCAAATGTACATGTTTCTATATGTTTCTGATAGCTCTCCTTTGTTCTGAAAATGGATTTTCTATTTTATGTATAAAGAAAAATTAACATAAAATATCAAAATTGACTTAATAAATTAATTATTACAATTAATTCAAAAAAGAAAGAAAGAAAGAAAGAAGAAGAAAAAAAAAACAAAAAAAAACAGAGCAACACTTACCTATAAAGTCTTTTGCACTTGCCACACTTATAAGGCCCTTCTTCTCCTGGTGAGCTCCTGGCAAGAGACTGCTCCTTGATGCGCATGGCCAGTGCCGAGTGCAGAGGGGGAGTCTGAGGGTCTTCTTGCTCCTGCAGTCTTCGCCTCTCTTCTCCTGTGCCTTCATCCTGGCTCTCGCTCATTTCTGCACTTGAGGATGAGCCATCCGCTGCACCATCCAGCTGGAGAACAGTCTTGTGGCGATACTTGTGAACGCGAGACTTAGAAAACTCACAAAGGTTGTTGTTGTTGACAATGCTGACTGTAATGTCATTGTTGTCATCTGAGAACTTTAACACTTTTTTAGAGACTGAGTTTTCCTTGGAATTCTCCCCATCACTGCTACGATTTGTAGTTTCTTCTTGTCCCTCTTGATCAATACCAGTTTCTTTTTGATTGTTATCCTCCTCTTCTTCAGAGTCCAGGATACCACTCCATTTTCTTTTTAGACTTTTGCGCACCATTCCTGATCCTTCACCCCCTGGAATCTCTATTGTTTCATTGATTTCTATCTGAACAGTTTCATAGGGCTTGCTTTTCCTCATGCCACTTCTGAGGGGGTATTTCTTGATTACAGTCTTATAATTCCTCTTCATACATATCTTCTTGCGTTCACTTCCACGTCCTGCTGTGCTGTTTCCTTCATTCTCATCAGAGTTTCTTGGTGACTGATTGGCTGCAGGAGGAGAGTGATTGTGACCAGCATGACCAATGGCATCACTATGTTCACTTGCTGAAGAAGAGCGGCGACTGTTTGTTGAGGGCATTGGCAAAACTCGGCAAATCTGTTTGAGAGAGTTTGTTTTCCCTGAAGCCATGGCTGTGGGACTCTGATTGCTTCCGCTAGCACTCTGAGATGAAGATTCACTGCCACTATTGCTATCAGTGCTACCATTGTTGCTGTCATTGCTGACACTGTTGTCCGAGTTGACACGAGAGCAGCTGTCAGGGCTACTGCTGGTACTCAAGGTACCTGCAGGACATCTCTCTGGACTGCTACTCTCTTCTGCTGTGCTGCAACTACTTGAACTACTGCTGCTACTGTTACTGCTACTTGTGCTACCACATTTGCTTTCACTGCTACATGTGCTACAACTACTGGTTGTATTACTGCCACTACTATTTCTGTTTCCACTAGCAGACATGTTCTGAGAGCTATTGCAGGTGTTCTGTAGAGATTTTGTTGAACTTGAAGGCACCGAACCAAGGTCCTGCATTGAGGGAGGAGCTATAGTCTCAATGATGGGTTCCTTAACATCAGCATTCGGAGATTCTACCCGGTACGTTTCATGGATGGGGTCAATGCCAGCAGCAAGGGTTGGGTGGAGCCGGGGAGAGAGGCTGGCAGCATCCATTATCCCTTGAGGGTCACATTCGGTTTCCTGAGCCTCCTGAGTCAAGTTTCCTGAGTGAGACACCTTCCCTGAGTCCATCATATGATCGCAGGTGCTCAGGAAGTCAATATCTAGTGGGCTTGGTCTGCCTGAGGTTGAGGGGGTAGACTGGAGAGTTATGGAGTCACAAGCATCGAGATCATTCAGCACCATAGAGATTAATTCATTGTCATCAGCACTAACAATAGCTGGCAAGTCTGTATCCAAGAGCAAGCTCTCTTCTTCAACTGACCGGCTTACTCTGTCAATAATGTCATCTATGCATTGTCGGACATCAAGTTCCACAATGGCTGGAGGAGTGCGGCACCGTACAATTTTCTCTACAACCCTGGTCTCCTGCTCCCTTTCCCTGATGCTGCGGTAGAGAGGACAAAGATGAGGAGGTATGATGTTTGTTTCACGTGATTTCTTCTCCACCTTACGTTCTTCCAACTGTTTGAACCATTTTCTAACTGCAGCCATTTCCTTGGAGACAGCTTCTTCACCAAGGGAATGATCTATAGTTCTGTGAAATGCTGCATCACCTACCAAGGTCGAATCGTCAAATGCAGGAACTACACGCTTTGTTCGGCAAGTGTATGTGACTTTTTTGCTTGGGTCAACTGTACTCCAGTAAACACGACTGCATAAAAAGTCTAAAGGAATGAGTGCCTCAGCACTGTCTGATTCTGGTACAATTCTTCCAACATTCTTGATTGTTAAGGATCCAATGATAATACTAACACGGTTCCCAGCAACTTGCTTCCACTTTTTCTTTTCTGAATCCATGTCAACATAAACACAGCGACTCACTTTGAAGTCATCAGTTTTCTCTTCACCATTTGAAGTACTCTCATGCAAGGGGCAAAAAATACGTTTATCCTCCATAAACTGACAGCAAGCTTTTCTGGCACAGAGGAAATGATATGTTGCTTGGCATGACTTGTGGCAACATCCAACAGTTGCTCCTCTTTCATTGCAGGCCGAGCATTTGATTAACCGCCCGCGGCTCACAGCCAGGTAGATATTTTGAAGACCTCCATCAACTTCCTCATACACTTCAGATGACCAGAGGCCGCAGTTAACATGCATCCATTCATCCTGTCCAAGATACAAAAGTCTGCCAGCTGCATTGGGTTCATCATCACCTTCTCGACCACACAGCACACACTTACGGCGATCTGGTGGACTTGCCTGGGCACCTTTCAAAGGGCTAGTTGACCGCTTCCTGTATAGGGGAACATCACGCACTGAGAAAATGCGAGTGCCTGATAACATAGGACGGTAAACATAACTGTGATCCCAATGTGGTAAAGGAAAAGGTCTTTGCTTATCTACTAACTCAAAAACATTTGCAGTTTTAATGTCAAACCAAGGAAAGCACTCCTTCATGTGCTTGGTATATGTCACTTGCACATTGCGCGTCTGGCTTCGGTTGAGGTGTCTTCCATTCTCAATAACCCTCACCATATCAACATGGAACTGCAATACCGAGTCATACTTGCGTTCCCTGAGTTTCTCCTTTACTGATAACAAATCTCTTGGCTCTTCTGGATCATCTTGAATACTCTCTATCTCAGTGTCAGTATCACAATAAGAACTTTCCTCACTGCTTACACAATCATCATCAATATCTTTGGTAATCTTGTCCTTGGGACTGATCAACTGAGCCTCCACATGGGCAAGATTCTTCTCATCAACTTTGGTCTTACTCTCCAACAAGCTTGTTGTGTCAAGCATCATTTGGCTTCTGTCTTCAAAGAAGAGGTTCCTTATTACTCTGGCTGTCGCTGTTGTTTCATCATTTGGACCATCAACCTGTGTACAAGAAACATCTGTGTCCTTTAAGGCCAAGATACCTTGCAGAGTATCCCTTGTTTCCCTCTCCAATTCCTTTTCCTCAAGGGACTCTAGTGATTCTGTAGTTCTCTCATCACTGTCTTTAATCAAGGTATCTTCAACTATGGTTTCCTGAGATTTTGATGTTTCTTCTGTTTTTTTGTCTTCTACCACAGGTACATTTTCCATCTCACTCTGCTGAGTCTTTATTGGGGATGAGGAAGGAGATCTTGCTTTACATATATCTTCCAACCTGACTGAACATTCTTTTAATTTGATAGGGTCTGCTGCATTACCAATGCTGCCAGCTGAGCCCAAGAGCGCTACACCTCCTGAAGAAGACCGTGTTTGTCTGCGGGAAATGGCCTTGGATTCATCTGCATTCTTTTCTTTGCTTGATTTTCCCTTGAGATCACTCTTGTCTTTAGCAACAGTTATACAACCACTTTTACCTGTACTCTTATTAGCTGCCACATTTTCAGACTGATTATCACTAAAGCAAGCCGTCTGGTCCCCAGATAGCTTGCTAGATTCACCCGCTCCCTCCTGAGGAATGTCTGTTCTATTTACAATTACTGAACACAATGATGCTGAAAAGTTCTTGTTTGTGTCTACTGCACAATCATCAGATTTGCTAGAGGTCTGGGGTGCACCAACACCCAAATCATCTACAGAACCAACAATGTGACTGGTATCACTAGAACTACTCGTGCCTTCCAGTGTTGAAGACACATAGCTGTCTCCTGCTGCCACTGTTGTTATGCTGACACAAACATTACTTCCTGAGAGGGGAGACACTTCCCCAGTATTAGATTCAGCAGAGGTCGTAGTACTGTGAGATTCCACTGCAACTGTGTTGGTATTAGTGGCAGGCAGAAGGGAATCAAGGCCCTCCACCCTCTCTACTAGTGCATCATCAATCCGTGCCTGAATGCTGGTCCCCACCTCAGGCAAGCAAGGTAGCGGGGTCAACCCACCTGAGGAAGACACTTTTGAAGATGCTTCTCTCTTCACCAGATGCTTGGCACACCGGCTAGCTATGAGGGCTTGGAGAACTGCCTCACACCCAGCCATGAGTTCACTGCTCACAGCATGTAGCCATGTGGAGGTGCTCTCAGTCACACAGCTCCGGCACACATATTCAACAGTGTCTGGAAGGAAGCTCAAGATCTGATAGCGCTCATTGTTGAGACCTTCACAATGTGCATGAATCCACTCACCACAACGGCCACACTCCATCATCTGCAATGAAAAATGCATTACACAGGTACTGTCTTCTAGAAATAGTTTTCCTTTGGTGTCTTCCATTTCTATATCATATAAAATTCAAAGTTTATATATGAAAAAGAGACAAAACTAACAAAGAAGGAGAAAGAAGAAAAAGAAAATGGAAAGATGAAAGGGGAAAGGGCAAGGCGGAGGGGGAGGGGGAGGGGGAGGGGGGGGAGGAGGGGATGGACAGACGAAGGGAGGGAGAGGGGGAGGGAGAGGGAGGGGGAGGGGGGGGAGGAGAGGGGAGGGGGAGGAGAGGGGGGGGAGGGAGAGAAGAGAGAGAGAGAGAGAGAGAGAGAGAGAGAGAGAGAGAGAGAGAGAGAGAGAGAGAGAGAGAGAGAGAGAGAGAGAGAGAGAGAGAGAGAGAGAGAGAGAGAGAGAGAGAAGAGAGAAAGAGAGAAAGAGAGAGAGAGAGAGAGAGAGAGAGAGAGAGAGAGAGAGAGAGAGAGAGAGAGGAGAGAGAGAGAGAGAGAGAGGAGAGAGGAGGGAGAGAGAGGGAGAGAGAGAGGAGAGAGGGAGAGGGGAGAGAGGGAGAGAGGGGAGAGAGGGAGAGAGAGAGAGAGAGAGAGAGAGAGAGAGAGAGAGAGAGAGAGAGAGAGAGAGAGAGAGGAGAGAGAGAGAGAGGAGAGAGAGAGAGAGAAGAGGGAGGGAGAGAGGGAGAGAGGGAGAGAGGAGAGAGAGGGAGGGAGGAGAGAAGGGAGGGAGGGAGAGAGAGAGAGAGAGAGAGGGAGAGAGAGAGAGAGAAGAGAGAGAGAGAGAGAGAGAGAGAGAGAGAGAAGAGAGAGAGAGAGAGAGAGAGAGAGAGAGAGAGAGAGAAGAGAAAGAGAGAGAGAGAGAGAGAGAGAGAGAGAGAGAGAGAGAGAGAGAGAGAGAAGAGAGAGATGAGAGAGAGAGAGAGAGAGAGAGAGAGAGTGAGAAGAGAGAGAGAGAGAGAGAGAGAGTAGAGAGAGAGAGAGAGAGAGAGAGAGAGAGAGAGAGAGAGAGAAGAGAGAAGAGAGAGAGAGAGAGAGAGAGAGAGAGAGAGAGAGAGAGAGAGAGAGAGAGAGAGAGAGAGAGAGAGAGAGAGAGAGANTAACGAAAAAACTTAATGATAATATAATTAACAATAATGAGTAATAGTGTGGGCAATGATGATTCATGTGGTGGTGATGATAACAATAATAATGATATTTGATGATAATAATAATAATATTAATAATGATAATTAATGATAATAAAGAATGGCATAATGATTAATTATAATACATCTTAATTTTATAATAATAATAGTAATATATAAAAATGATATAATAATAATAGATAATAATTGTTGATAATAAATAATAGCAATGAATAATAATGATAATAATAATTGATTGATAAATAATGTAACTAACGATTAATATTGATTAATTATAATAATGACAATAATGATAAACGAATTTAAGATTTTAATAATATATTATTTTAGTATAATAATAGTACAAATAATAATGATAATAAAAATGATAAAATGATTACAATAACACATACCTTCCTTTAAAATGATAATGAAATGAAATAAAAATAAATTTCTAACAATATTAATGACAACAATTATGCATATTAAGGACCACTATTGCTATTAATGATAATAACGGACCAATAAACGATAACAACAACCCCTTCAAAGCAAAATGATAATGAGAATAAAAATTTTAGTACCTAATGATTTATGATAATTTGATTAATGATAATGGTGTTGTGACAAAACAATTAATAATCAAAGTGATAATAATTTACATATAAATCATGGCGATAGCAATGATAATGCTTAAAATAAGTTATTAACAATGCGATGGTAAATGCGAAATGAAATTCATAATGATAAACGATAATGATATGAACCAATACTAGTAATAATATAATGCAATGAAGATGATAATAATAATGATAGTTAATAACAATAATTTATTGAGGATAATAATATAATAATAGTATTATAACAATAATAAAATATGATGTAATAATAATTAATTAGCAATGATAATAATGATCAAATAATAATAAACAATAACTGATTAAAAATATCGATAATAATACTGATTTGAAAATAATTAACAAAACGTGATGATTGATAATGATAAAAAATTAATGCTGTTACTGAATGATTTACTAGATAACAATAATAATAAATATGATTGATAATAATTGTAATAATTAATAATAATATATCAATGATTAACAAAAATGCTACTACTACTACTACAATGATAAAATAATAATGATAATAATAATAATAAATAATAATAATAATGATAATAATATAATAATTATATTAATAATAATAATAATTAATAATAATAATAGATTAATATTTGATCACAAGGTTAATAATAAAAATAAATAAAAAAATATACATGATTAATGTTAATAAGAATAGTTAAAATATAACAATTGTATAATGATAATAATAACAATTAATAATTAATATATAATAAATAATAATAATAAATAATAATATAATAACAACAATAATAATTAATAAAAATAATAACCAAAAATACAATAATTAAAGGACAACTCACATAATGATAACATCACTGAATGATAAGGATAATATTTTGATTGATAATGATTATGGCAGTAATAATGATAATAACAAAAGTAATTTAAATTTGAAAATGATTGATAATAACACTAATAATAAACAATGGTAATAGGGGATGATAAGAATGAATGATGTTCATAAAAAAATGAAAGCGAAGAACCAGAAAAACAAAAAAGACCACAAAAATATTGAAGAACAAAAATGAAACCAAAGAAAAAGAACCAAAACAACCAACAAACACAACAAATAGGAAAAAAAAAACACACCAAACACCACACACAAACATTAATAAAAAAAATAAACTGAATAACAAACTAAACCACAAAAAAAAACAATAAATAAAAAATCAAAAACTGAAAAATACAAACCCACCCCAGACACGAACCCAAACCACGCAGAACGATGAGAAAACAATCCCCATACAGTCTGAGAACAGGAACCGGTACACAGGAAGCCGACAGAAACCGCTATCAACAAGGGGGGGTGGGGTGCAGGTGGGGCGGTGGGGTTGGGGATGGGGCGGGTCCGAATTGCATTCCTGAGGAAACAGGCTCGACTGGAGAAAATCCCTAGTCATATAATAAAATTCTAGGGGGAAGGGGGAAAGGGTGTGGAAGGCTGAGGAGGGGGATAAGGGTGAATAAGGTTGGAGGGGAGGAGGGGAATAAGGCATGGTAAGGCATGGAGAGGGTGGGAGGGATGGCAGGGAGGTTTTAGAGGCAGAGGGAGGAGGCTAAGGGTGGCGAGGGATAAGGGTGATAGGGTGGAAGGGGGAAGGGATGTAGTCTAGGGTTTGGAGAAGAAGAGGCGGGGGAAGGTGGTCTTTATGGGTGTATGTGGAGGGGAATAGGGGGGGGATTAAGGGAGGTGTATAAGGAGGAGTATAATGGGAGGGGTGTATTAAGGGACAGGGGCTTATAAGGGAGGATTATAGGGACGGGTAATAAGGGAGGGGTATAAGGGAAAGGTGGGTTTATTAAGGGAGGGAGATTAATAAAGGAGGTATAAGGGAGAGGGGTATAAAGAGGAGGGTATAAGGAGTATCGAAGGAAGGGGTTTATAAGAGAGGGGATATTATAAGGGAGGGGGGGTTATTCAGGGCAGCAGGGTGAGCGGAGGGGAAAAGGTGGCGGTTTGTTGATCCAATGATATATGAAAGTCATTGCAGGGTCGTCAGGGAAGCTCGAGGAGATCCGCCATCTCGACCTACAAGCCTCATGTTCTGTGGTCTGTCTCCATTAATTTGTAGCAGGGGGTGTCTGATCGGGGAGTGAATGTTGCTCTCTCTCTCTGCTCTCTCTCTCTCTCTCGTCTCTCTCTACCTTCCTCTTCTCTCTCTCTCTCTCTCTGTCTCTCTTCTCTCCTCTCTGTTTCTGACTCTGTCTCTGTTCTCTCTCTCTCCTCTCTCTCTCTCTCCTCTCTCTCTCTCCTCTACCTCTACGGCTTTGCCCTCTCACATCGCTCATCGTGTCTCTCCTCTCCTGCTCTCTTTTTTAATTTCATCTCTCTCTCTTTCTCATTTCTCCTCCTCAAATCTCCACTCTCAACTCTTAATGTCTCATCATCTGTCTCTCTCTCTCTCTCTCTCTCTCTCTCTCATCTCCCTCTCTCTTCCTCTCTCTCTCTCTCTCCTCTCTCTCTCTCTCTCTCTGGTCTCTGTTCTGTCTCGTCTGTCTGTCTACCTCTGTCTCTGTCTCTGGTCGGTCTCCTCTCTCCTCCATGTCTGTTTATCTGTCTCTCTCTCTCTCTCTCTCTTCTCTCCTCTCTCTCTCTCTCGTCTCCTCTCGCTCTCTCTCTCTCTCTCTCTCTCTTCTCGTTGTCTCTGCCTTCTGTCCTCTTGTCTCTCTCTCCCTCTCTCCTTGTCTCTGTCTTCGCTGGTCTCTGTTCTCTCTGTTCTCTACTTGTCTGTCCTACTTGTCTGCTCCTCTCTCTCTCTCTCTCATCTCTCTTCCTCTCTCTCTCTTCTCCTCTCTTCTCTCTCCTCTCTCTCTCTCTCTCTTCTTCTCGCCTCTCTCTCTCTCTCTCTGTCTCTGTCTCGGTCTCTGTCTCTGTCGGTCTGTCTACTGTCTGTCTCTCTCTCTCTTCTCTCTCGCCTCTCTCTCTCGTCCTCTCTCTCTCTCTCTCTCTCTCTCTCTCTCTGCTCTCTCTCTTCTCTCTCTCTCTTCTCCCTCTTTAACTCCTCATTCACACACCACCCCCGATCACAATATTTTCTTATTCCTTGTTCTCTCTCTCTTTCTCTCATTCCCTTATTCGTTTTCAAACTCTTCTTTAATCATTATTTTCACTTTTTTCTTTTCACTATCACTGTAATCAAAATACACGAGAACACTATTAAATAAATACAGTCAAACGGCATATTTGTCTTATTAAAAGTCCGAGAGAGACAACGTAAAGTTATTT